CCGACCTCTTGTGAGCAGGCAGCCCTCAACAATTAACTTTTTCATCAATGATCTAGAAGGAACAATACGTTCTCTGCAGCTAAAATTTGTGGGTGGCATGAAGACTGGCAGGATATATCACCCTACTTATGCTTTGCCAGTCATGTTGAGCCACCCAGATCAAAAAACAAAAGAAACCCAACCCCCACCCTCCACATAGGTCACCAATGTAAGACCCATGGATGCAGGCCAGGCCAGTGGAATGGGGAACTATACTGTGGAGACAAGTGACGCTTGTAGGAGTTTTGGTTGTTAGGCCATAGTTCTGCTAGGCTATAGTTAAGGTAAGATACCACAAAGGACCTTGGGAGTAACAGCCTTCAGTGACCATTGGATGACCTGATAAAAGATGCAGTCAACAAAAACTCTAATTCAAAGTAAGAAACAATAGCTGAACAAGTTGAGGAGTAAAATGTTAGAACTTGTTAGTAAAGTAGAGATAACGAGGTGAGCTGGATTTAGCCAGGGCAAGCTGAAGATACTCAAATTCAGTTGGGAGGGAGCTAGAAAAGCCAAGATTCAGCAGGGAGTGAGCTCTAGGTGCCCAAATTTGGACACAGGGAGCTGCAGTTGGCAAGGAAGGAACTGCAGGTGTCTGGACTTGGCAAAGAGACAAGTACAAAAGGACATCTCAACAGAGAGAGAGAAGAGTTAGCATGGAGAGGGGGAATCTTGGCTATAAAAACAGAGGTTACCCTTTTGTCTGTACACATAATGTGTTGCTTACCATTATCTCAGCAGTTTTTCTGAGCTAGGCCGATTGCTGTATGAACCCACTATTGCCCTACGAGACAATAAAACTATCTGAGCTTTCACTACTGAACTTGAAATATAGTCGTTCTTTCTGCATCACACCTAAGCTCAGGAGGCTGGCTACAGACAGCAGTCTCTGAGAGCACCCCGGCCCAGCAGCCTGAACCCCAAAAGGGGCAGGAGGCAGGTTGGGAACTCTCCCAACCTCCAAGCACCTCAAAACAACCTCAAAAACGGGAAGGAGGACCCAGGAAACTATAGGCCAGTTAGTCTTACCTCAATCCTGGGCAAGCTATTTGAGAGAATTATCCTGGTGCATGTCTGCGAGGGGCCAGCAGGGGAGATTATGCTTAGGGGCAACCAACACGGGTTTATTAGAGGTTCATTAGAGGCAGGTCCTGTCAGACCAACCTGGTGGCCTTCTACGACCAGGTCACCAAATCCTTAGATGCAGGGGTAGCAGTGGACATAGTCTTTCTGGATTTCAGGAAGGCCTTCGACACTGTCTCTCACCCCGTTCTCATTAAAAAACTGGGGATGTGGTGTTGACTCCTATACATTCACAAATTGGCTGGAGGGCCGCACCCAGAGAGTGGTGGTGGGCGGGTCATTTTTGACCTGGAGGGACATGGGCAGTGGGGTCCCACAGGGCTCCGTCCTCGGGCCCGCACTGTTCAACATCTTCATCAGTGACTTGGACGAGGGGGTAAAAAGCACCCTGTTCAAGTTTGCTGACGGCACTAAGATGTGGGGGGATGTGGGCATGCTAGAAGGGAGGAATAGGCTGCAATGAGACCTAGGCAGGTTACAGGGGTGGG